ATTTCAACAGCAATCAGTTAAAATAACCTCTGGGGTGTGAAAAGATACTCAGGAAATTAGGCTTCTGTGAATGTATTTATGACAGAATGTGTACTTTCAAGGTAAGATGACTCACATTTTACTGTGTGTGCGTCTCTCTCAGACATAATAAATAGTTTCAGGGATGGATAGTTTATAAAACATGTCTACTAAGAGTGTTTTGCTGGTTTTTCATAAAATCATTTTACCTGTATAGATATAGCAATCCTGTGTTGTTTATATGTGGAGGATTAGATAAGCAATGTAACAAAAATATCATTGGAAAACAATGGTTGCGTTCAAATAGAAAGTACTGAAAGCAAATGACCTAGTTTCTTTTCCTGGATGAAGCCATACGTTTCACAACTTATAAACATGAATTAATTTTTGTCATTGTACTCATTTGTAATTTAGTCATTGATAGCAGTCAGTATTATTTGTATGTGTTTGGAGAGAGGCATGCTTTTCCATATTTTGTCTTATGGAAGAAAGAAACATTTGGAAATGGGCACAGTGTGTTTTCACACTCTGATATATTCCATGGTACTTGTAAAGGAAGTCATTTTTGGTGGCCTCATTTTATATGGCCTCAGAAGAAAGAAAATTCCTCTTTTAGGAACACAGGGAAAAGAATCCAGATTTTTTGCTCCTTTGTTTCCCATGAAAACAAACAAAAAATAAAGAGGGGTAAAAAGCCTTCAAAATAGGTAAACATGTAACTGAGTCCCACACATGTGGTTGCAAGAACATAAGAATCTGTTTTCATGAGAGGTCTGCATCATTCCTGGGGATTGTGAAGTGGATGTTGTAAACAGGTATTTTCTAAAAATGTGATGAATTCAAATTCATATTTGAGTTTTTGGTGCTCAGTTGAATGCTGATTGGATGAAAATTTTTCAAGTGTTTTATATTTTTTCCTAGGAAGTTTTCTTTTGCATTAACTAAAAGTAGCAAGCTTATTAGGTTAAAAATATACAAATTTGTAGCACCAAGGGCTAGTCATGTCATAAACATAAGCTTCTTTCCTTTTCCTCAAACATACTATGAGAATGCTTAACACACATGGGAGAATCAACTTCATTCTTTCTTACGTGCTAAAAGAAAGCTTTCTGTTCATTTCTCTGGCCTTCTGAAGCTCACATACCCATTCTCCCAGGAAATCAGCTGCCCAGGTCACAGCCCTATCTCAACACCTGCTTGCAGCTGCACTAAACGTTCTTGGCAGCAGAGTTGTTGAGAGGCGCATCAGGGCTGAATGGTGGTGACCAGGAAGCAGCCTGTTCACTGTGACTGGCGGAGCACCTAGGTATGTCTGCCCCTAAAACATCCTATGAAAGTGAAAGCGCCCAGCAAACCTAAGTAATGAGATTGTGAAGAGCAATAAATGGAGCAATGCATCTGCTACAAAGCCAAGTACAGGGTCCTGGGGACCTAGCAACCTAGCCATAAGGTGAGGGTTAACACAACGTTGTGGCTGTGGAAAATTTACTCCAGGACCACCCCTTTGGAACTAAGCTGCACAGTTATGGCCATTCTCATTTGATTGGTAAAGTAATACAGCTGCTAGAAGTTAGTGGCAAACTCAGCCTGAATTTAGACTATCTCAAAAAGATAATTTAGCAAGGCCTCACAAACGTTGATTCCCTTTCTACACCAACACCTGGAGGCATGAGTTATGGATGGGAGAGCCCAGAAGAGAGGCGGGAGGAAGTCTCCTGAAGAATTTACAACCCTTCATAATTTCAGCACCACTCCCAGGTCTGTGTGGTTGCTATGCAGTGACCAAAGTGTCATTTCCTGGCCTACTGCTTAAAGGCAGCAAGTTTCTTAGGGTTTCTACCCTTTGTGACAAATGGCAACTGAAAGATTTGATCATTCTTAGCTGACAGATGCTTAGTGAGCTGCTTCTCTATCTGTTTCAAACTCAGCAGCATTAGCTCTACTAATTAACTGGTGCGCGCATGTCCAATTATGGACAGTTATTACTGTGGAACTGCTGAACTCATCTGCTTAAGGCCACATCTTCCTGGGAAATAAATAAGACACTGACAGTACCATGTGGTCTAGAAGAGGGTGGGCTTGTGTGACAGGTCTATGTCTGATACCCCTCTCTAAGTTGTCACCACATGTGGTGCCTTCACCGAGCCTTAACTTTCCAGCTTTCAAGGTGGTGATAATGTCTGTTCTTCACTGGTGTCTTGTGAGGAGTGAACTGAACGAGATAAATCTTATTTAAATCAGTTGACATTAAAATAGAAAACTCATCAAGGAAAACCCATTCAATCTTTATGTAACATAGGATGGTGCCTTCCATAATAGATGCCACGGTTTTACAAGATGGATTATAATGTCTTTCTGGATATATTCATACTGCAAAAGTTATTAATACTGTAGTTCTACTAGAAGCCAAATTAAGCTGCTTTCCCATGCTATGCCACTGCCACGCAGGATGCATGCTCCGGGCAGATTTCACGCATTTTTGTCCCTGGGTTGGCAGAACTGTCAAATGCCAGTTTTGAAAGATGAGGCTTCTACAGAAGCAGAAAAACAAAAATATTCCTTGGCCATCCTCTGTGTGCTAGACAGCTCCTGTTTGGGCTTCCAGTTGTACTTTCCACCCTGTTCCAACTGCCCTGTGTCCACAGAGCCAGATCTGTAGGGGTCTATGAGGGCTTCCTGGCCCTGGGTTTCTGGTTAAGCTCAGCTAATGAGGGCCTTCATCAGACTCTGGAAACAAGCGTGAATGGACAAGGGATATTTGCTTCCTCCTTCCCTTTTGTGGGACCACTACAACTAGTTGTGTCTGGAGGCAGAAGTCCCGAGTTTCAGAGGGTCAGCCCTTACTGTACCACTTCTCAGTCTTTGAGGTCCTTTCTCTTTTCCCCCACTTGTTTAGTGAGGCCCAGGATGGTAACAGTCCTCAGCATACCATCCACACATTTGTATCAGGATGAGACATACAGATTTTTCAGAGGGAAGCTGATCAAATATTGATAATTTCATATGCAGTGAGATAAGCACTTACATCCTTAAGCTTTCCTGAATGACCAGTGAAAATGCAGGCCATTCATTAATAAAGAAAAGGTTCATTATGTGTTTGGTTGGTTTTGGTTTTTTAAGCAGGGCCTCACTATATAGTTGAGACTGACCTGGAACTCACTATGTAGTCCAGGCTGGTTGCAAACTCACAGCGATCCTCCTGCCTCAGCCTCCAAAGTGCTGGGATTATAGGCATGTGCCACCATGCCTGGCCAAGAAAAGGTTATTGTTAAAATTAAGGAAGGTAGGTTTGCAAAGGAGATGGCAGAGAAGTGTTTCATCCATTTTTTAGCCTTATTTTAAAATTTAGCTTTTACTTTATTGCTCTTATATTTATCTGTTTATTTTCTTTTTATTTACTTATTTTTTAATTAACATTCTGGTAGTATAATTATAATGATCACAGTCTTCATGAGAAGTTGGTGAATGTACATAACATATTGCAATTCTTTTTAAAAAATTCCCTCGATATCACCCCCTCCATCTCTTGCTCCCTTTCCATATGCAAAAGGAATTTCAACTATTTTGAGATAAAAATACTTACTGAGGGCAAAGTGGTTGCTAAATAATAAACTGTGATTCTTCATTATTTTGATAAAATTAAAATGAACTGATAAAATTTCCATAGAACAAGTGGTTACTTGGTATCAGGACAAGAAAACAGTCTGTTTTTAAAAATCAATCTGATAGATTTGAAAGTCTAACCAACCAGCTTGGTGTTGCTAAGCCCTCATCAACTCAGAATAAGAGATTCATCACGACAAGATTAAGAAAAGAAGAAAACCTTTGAGCAAGGAGATGTAGGACTGAGTCCTTGCTCCTCACTTCACAATTCAGGGCAGGTCACTTTGTCCTTTCATCCTCACCTTTTGATGTTTGAGATGAGGAGTCAGAGTGATACCTTCTAAATCTCTTTTAGCTTTAGTTTTGGTAGTTGGGACTAGCAGGGACATCAATGAACCAGCGATGCCTCTGGGTACTCCTTCTCCCCTGGCCTCCTCTCTGGCTAGTCCCTCCATCTAGCACTTGGCCAACAATTCCTAGACTTAGCAGCACAGGAGAAACAGCAGAGCACATCCCTCAGTTCCACCCCACAGCTACTGCCCTCTACCGTCATGTAGACAGTAGCTATCCAGCCTTCACAAAATTTTCCCTGTTGATTCTGAAGTGAGGCCAGATTTGGAAACCATTGTGAACGATGTGATCTTGAAGACAGAGAGAGAGATTGAAGACAAATGGGAATTATTGTGACTGACTCTCAGGACAGTTGTGGTCAGAATCTAGTGTGGTTCTCACTAGTGGAACTAAATGACTCAGATGTCCTCTACTCTGTAATACTTGCTTGTCACGATGGTGCACGTGGGCACGAGCGTATGAATGTATGTCCTGTTGTTCCTGAATTCATTTGCTTTATCTTATGTTAGTATACATCTTTTTAAAATCTCAAAGACATAGAGTATGCTAATATTTATGTGGCTCATCTCAGTAAATGCACAGCTGTTGCTAGCTGAAGTCATTGGCTCAAGCCTAGCCTGGCACCAGAATAGGGAAGGATCAACCTCTAGGACTGACTACCAGTCAACAGTAGGGCAAACTGGGTCACTGGGAAATGCTGTCTTAGTTTATGCTCTTCTTCCCAGGAAATGCTCAGTACATTTCTCATACACGCTAAAAAAGTATTGGTTGTTTATTTACAAATCCTTGTGGTTTGACAGAAGATTTGTATTTGCTTATGGTTCAAGTACTCCCAATCTTGACTTTCACATGCGATTACTTCTAAGAACTACCTAGTATTAATATGCCTGTCTCAGTGCAAAATTCACCTATAGAATAAACATGATCACACGTGTAAATTTGCTGCTTCAGTCAAACATTAACCAAATGTTCACCATTTACAGGTTTTGTATTCTTTAAAATTAAAAGCAGACCTCTGCAGCACGTACCGGGTCCCTGCGCACCAGCTCTCCGTTGGGCACCACCTCAACCAGGTGGATGATGATAATCATGGAATTCAGAATGTAAGTAAGGAACATGTGCTTGTGCAGGGTCACCCGCTGGCAGCCGAGACTCCTGGAAAGGAAACAGCAGTAAAGCATCACTTGGTGTCCGAACATCGAGGTACTGTTAGCCACAGGTGAGAGCATATAGAAGTAAGGCAGCTGCACCCCACCTTTAGGTTGCACCCCATCATTTAGTTGCTATTTTTCTGCCTATTTTTAAGGTACCACTTTAAAAAAAATTACCCAGTCGTAGCACGTTTTTTGGTCCTGAGTGGCTTCTGGAAGGGTAAGTGATAAAATCATTTTAATTATAACAAATGTTGTACAATGAATGAAGAGAAGGTTTCTTAGAGGAGAAATCATTAAAGTTCGGAGTACGCTTTAGACAAAAAGCGTGCTCCTTGCTGCCACCAGGCAGAAAGTAGATGGGGGCGAGGGAACACGAAGTCAGAAGCAAGGGTGCATGTGACTGGGTACAGGACCTGGGCCCAAGAGTCGTGAGAGACACAGGCTGCTGCTCTCCCCACATCCTTCTCTCCCACTGTTTCTTAACCATCTTCTTGTAGCTGATACTCCAAGTGGAATCCTCACCCTTGCTGTTCCTTTCCATACTCTCCTCCAAGTGAAGCTCACACATCAGACAGACTAGGTCCCAAAAAGGCTAGATTTCACCTATTACAAGACATATTACACACTGGATTCCATGAAACCTATCTTAGTAGTCACACCTCTCCCCCTGCTTTTTTTTTTTTTGGTACCAGGGATTGAACTCGGGACCTTGTGCTTGCAAGGCACACGGTGGAACCACCGAGCTAAATCCCCAGCCCATATCCCACCTTCTGATTGCTAAGCAATTTGTTGGATTTTGAATTCTTTTCTCTTCTGCTTCCTAAACTTGTACATATATGTTAATATGAATATCTGTATAAAATTAGTTGGTTGTTATTTTCACGTTTTAAATTTAATGAAGAAAGGCTACAACATGGCTATAACAAAACTGGGATGACAAATGTGGACAAATGAATGTCCTTTATTTATCATAATTGGATCCAGTCAAAAAAGGTTCATGTAATGTATTCTCTATGGGAAAGCTTACAACATGCAGTTAATGAGGACAGTGACTCATTACAGTAAGTGTTCCTAAAACATCTTCATGGAATAGAATTAGCATTCAGAGATTGTGAGAAGTAAAGTTTGGAGGGGAAATGAGATTTGAGAATGGCCTGGGTTTGCTCCCAGTACTTTCCTACATCCCAACCCAAAGGCAAATGACTCGTCAGTCACTGGTTGTAAAAGTGTGAATTTAAGTAACAAGGTCTTCTGTGAGAGTACGTTTTGATAATTGCCACTATATTTCTGTGTTTCAAGAAGCACAAACATTGGTAAATAAATAAAATTTTAGCATTTTAAACTTGCTAAGCAGGGACAGAATGCAGGACTTTACATCCCAGAGGGAGCCAAGGGTAAAGCCAGGGTATCATGAAAGATTTACATGCATGCGCGCGCGCACACACACACACACACACACACACACACACACGCACACTAGAAAACTAGGGACTGTTTTTTTTTTTACTGGCAGAGAACTCTGTGAAATAAACAAAATTTAACTGGTTTTACCACAGTGTTAAAAGCAGTTTGCAAATTTAAAAGCTTTAAAAAGAAAAACATGTTGAAGTGAAACATCACACCCATATGTATACTTATAAACTCTTCCATTTTGGAAGTGCTGCTCTTAGCACTGCTGAGCCTGTGATGTGTCATCTTCCTTACAGTCGCTGTGACATTTTGTAATTCTTCTCACTGGGGTAAATATCTGCGGCCTCACTGAGGGATTCAGCCTGGCTTAGGCTACTAACAGGACATTACCCAGACTAGAATATGAACGAAGGTGTTGGCAATACTGCTCTTCTGGTGTCTTGTGTTTTCGTGTGATTGGGGAGTGTTTAATAATCTGCTGATGTACGACATCAGCCTAAAGGACTTCATTCCCGTCACTCTGCACGGCAAGCTGGAACTAGCCTCAGTAAAATGTACTTTCTCTACTTCCAGTCTACTCTTGCCCTTGCTTCCCTGCTTTATTTTTCTTTTTGACACTTATCTCCCCTGACATAGCATATGTTCTGCTGTTCGATATTAGCTAAAATATACAAAGTATATCGTGCATATGTATGTATGGCACTATACGTATATGAAAACATATACACTTCTCCTTGAAACCTAGAGAAAATGACGGTTGAAACCCAAACTGCGACCCCTCAAAATACTGATTAACTAATGCATGAGTTTGTATCACTTAAAAGAAGAAGGAGATAAAAAGAAGATATATCATGTACCAGTACAAATCCCTTATGATGAATGTTATCCTTATGTATATCTAAAATGTACCAAAAAGTAATTTTACTTCCAAAAAAAGTTCAAATATAATTTCTGCTTATTGTTTTCAAAATTTCATCACACTTACCTGATGACAATTATGCTCATCCTTTTGAAGTGATTTAAAGGATTTTAAATTTATCAAAATCAAGTCAGATCTTCTGATAGATGCTAAGGACAACCACATGGCTTCTGACTTCAAGGCCCTAATACTACAGAATTGTTGACTTCTTTTGTGTTTAACTATTTTGCATCTTAGCATTTGTGTTCTACCTATCTCACTTTTATCTTGCTGTGGCTGCCATGAGAGCCAGAAGAATCAGTTTGTCTCCTTAGCATTAAATTCATATTATACATGAGTGAGAGTTCTTTTTCTTCCCTGATTTAAGTTTCTGCTTGTTGGGTTCTTGGAATTGAGACAGTAGAATGAAGTCAATAGCCCCTACTTGATCTGCCTGACAGTATACCAAGGGTTGGGACAGATTTATTTGGTTTTGCAATTAGTTGGAGTTAAAAAATATTTTAACTGGTCCATGCACTGCACTTTTAAACACTCATGTTTTGTGGCTTAACATAGTAATTATAGAAGAAAGAACATTATTATTTCCTTTGCTGATTTGACTCTCCTATTTTTATCACTTATTTAAGTGACTGGAGAAATAAAGAACTAAGAAATTTCTCCTTGACATTTGTCTTAAAATTCTGACTACATTTTTTTAGTTGCATGATTACAAATTAGGGAGATTTTCTTCTTTCAGTATTCCTATAGTTATATTTCAAAAAACTTGATAAAAGTAGGCTTTTAGCAGAAGACTTTTTAGTCAAAGCTGTGTGAGTCATGATGATGTATTTATTCACTGTGGTGAGGAACCGTTGAAAAATGAACAGACATTCCAAAGTTAATCATGTTACGTGATTGTGCTGCTGTGTTCTAATCGCTGTAATTGAAAATACTCTCCTAATTCTAGTAATTAATACATTGTGTCTTGTTGCTTTATCAGTCTCTTTTCTGTTAAATCATTTATGGAAGGAGCTCATTATGTGCTTACTTGAGTTATTTATTATTTGCTATTCAGATAAAAATGTACTTTTCAGTTGAATTGCTTAGTCAATATAAAACAATAATAAAGAAAAAGATTTTAAAATGATTGAGGTAAAACCATAGTTTTGTGGATCTGTAATGAGGTCGATATCCTTCCTTGGTTTAATTTCTTTATAACTGTCATGGTAAAATTATAACAAAAACTCAAGATTTTATTAGTATTTGTATAAAGCACTGTCTAGATACATATAAGTTCTTTTCAGTGTGAAGGATTATTTGGAATCTGAGCCTAGGAAAGAGCTTTTCTTCATTTGTATCATATCACACAACCAACAATAATGATGATGGTAGCAATAATATCAAACACTTATTTCACTTATGTGTCAGACATTAGTCTTGATACAAGATCCTATCTAATTTATTTTTATTTCTAACATATTTACTGAGATGTGATGCACCTATAAGGAATGTACATGTGGTGTACTTTGAACCTACATTTTTAAGTAAGCCTCTGAAAGTCAGTTTAAGATTATGTTGTGGTGCTTTATTCTCACTGAGAGTTGCTGTGCTGAAAGTGTACAGAACAGTTTCTAATTTAAATGTACAGTAATTCAAAAAGCTTCTGTTTATGTTCACTTACAGAAGACAAGGAAATAAAGCATTTAAGGCATTCCATATGTATTTTCCTTATATTTTGCTGTCTAATGTAACTGTTCTCACCTAAAACCTAAAGAAAAATATACTTGGGATTAGATTTTGCAGAGATGGGTTGTGATATGCTTGTTTATTCCTTATTCTTATATCGGCTAACATGTCTTCAAATGCCATTCTTCAGCGCTTTAGTGGAGAGGCCCAAACAAATAGCTGCCATTAGACCATTTTTAGGGGTCAGCTTACTTATGTTGGCTCTAGAGCTCCTTGGCTCTGACCTCTGTCAGGGCAATGGCAATAGAAATCTCTGACAAGGTAGAATCCTCTTCATGAGCAAAATAAATAGCCCGTTTATCTGTTAAGAATTGCACAGGATTTTATATCAGATATTTATCTAGAGAGATGTCAATCAGCTCTTTGGCTCCCACCCTATTCATATAAAGCAGATTTTTCTTGGTCAGTCTCATTTTCCATAATACTGAGGACAGTGTAGAAATCCAAGTGGAAGATAAGTCATGCTAGTATAGAAGTTAGAATTCTCATAAAAGGATAATGTAGTGCCTCATGTCTTTGGCCTAAAAAATGACACCAAGTCTAGAAAATGTCTCAAAATAACCATATGTTACTGTCTTACACGAATTATGCAGTCATTCCTAACATTTAAGATTTCCCATTATTGTGAAATCAGCACCTATATTAGCTTAATCACTATGGAAATTATGCAGTCCAGTGTACAGACAACAGCCTTAGAATAAAAACCCTCACTGGAACTGCATTCTTTACAGTGTCTTAAATTATTACGGTTAGCAATGGTAGGTTTGCTAGGGCAAAGACTAACACTGTATAAAGAGCCATTGTCTTTTGGGCTGGAGATTTAGCTCAGTGGCACTGCAGCCTGCCTGGCTGAGTTCGATCCCCATCCCCAGTACCAAAAAAAAAGAGCCATCATCTTTTTGAGTCCAGTGGCTGGAGGCCCAAGGTTAGAGTCAGAACTTAATTGTGCGTTCTCAGCCAAGCACTATCATGACTTTACCCACCCCATTTTCTCCTGGCTAAACCAACTTGTAATATAGCTCATAAGTAGGCAGGGCCCATTTCCACTTCTACTACAGGCTTCATATATTTATAGTGAGGCTAAATAAGTAGGAGGATCCTTTCTGCTTAGTACTTCATTGAACCATAGCTTTGGTAAATGGAACCTTTACCGCAGTGCTCCAGTGTCCTTATGGACTCAGAAGTCTGGTAATGAACCCACTTTGTTCTCCTTAGGGTTAAAGAAAAGCATTATTAACTCAGTTAATGTTTTTTTACTACTTCATTGCTCTTAACGGTGCATATCTCGTATGATTTGCAGAAGATATTTCGCTGCCCCTACTCTTCCAGATCTATCATTTATTTTAGTAGCACAAGAAGCAAACAAAAAGCAGATGGTCCAAGTGTACTTACCTGAAAAACAGAAAAATTCCCAGAGAAATCACCAAGGTGAAAATCGACATAGAGTGACCCACAATAGCCAGATAGTACAGAACATATGCATTCTGGAACAACAATAACAGCAAACAGATGAATCAATGATGAGATTCTACTTCTAAACACAATATAAATCGACAAATTATTTTCCCTCTTTAAAAATCCTCTACAGTTACAGTGAATATTTAAGGGAAAGAAGTTATTTTAGCTCCATTCATTTTCTATAAATAAATTGATCTATTTTCAAAGAATAAAGAAAGTTTCTTGAGAGGAGTTCAGTCTTACTAAAAAATATACTGCAGAGGGCCGGGGATTCAGCTCAGTGGTGCCCCCACTTGCCTCAGAAGCACAAGGTCCCGAGATTGCTCCTCAGTACCAAAAGGAAAAAACAAAACAAAACAAAACAAAAAACAAAAACAAAAAAACAAAACTGCAGAAATGTTTTGCATTCAAAATGTTTCCTATGATGTTTTTTGACTTCTTGGAATAAATATGACATTTATGTACCTGGAGAATTTTGACTCTTGTCATCTGCCTTACGAAGTGTCCTAGGTTGAAAGCACTAATTCTGCTAAGATTAAGAACGCAGAACCCTTTATTTGGTTATGTGCATGATTACTCTCCTAAAACAAATATCCCTTTTCTTCATTCTAATAATTTCACAAAGGAAAATCCAACTTCTTTTGAATTGTGCCTGTTATACAATTAGAGCTTTGACATTTTATACACTGCTTAACATTTTCAATGCCATTATATTACCCTAACAGTACTTCTTACCTTATAGGTAATAAAATTGGAATAGGTGGTTCATAACTAGAGATTTCAAAAACTTTAGATAACTTCCTTAGGAAGGACTTAGGAATTTTTTCAAGAAAATAAATACTCAGCTCCCATCTTTTCTCCCAGGAGTTTAGTTTTGGGTATTTTTGTAAGAAAGCTTCATATAATTTAACCCTGTTTCTTTTTCTCAGAACATTTCCTATAAGTTAACTCATATTCTTTCAGGTGCCTTCCAAAATACCCTTTTAAAAAATATTTTCCTGAAAAAGAGTTGTCTAAAGGTGTAAGATTAAATCAGCAGCTCATAATTTATTTGCTATCCTGTGTCATTCTGAAGACAGAAGTTTTATGGTTTTCAAATTAAATTTAAGGCTAATTTCTTCCATTGGTGGTGGCAATATTTATATGAAGGATGTGTGGAAAGAATTCTAATCATTATATTAAGTGCCTAGAGTGGACCATTTCTCCTTAAATTTGTTTCTCAGGTGAGGCAAGGGTATGTGAGAAGGTCAAACATTGAAACACTGAGGATTACTTATTTGGACTCACACTATGTATAACAATTCATGATTATATTTTGACTGTATCATGATTATAATTTTTCCTTGAAAATCATTATCAGCATTCATTCCAGAAACTATTCAGTGACATATCACTTCATTGACACTTTATTAAGTAAATACCTGCAGTTCTCTGTTAGGGTATGAACATGGCTGTGACTAAGCAATTTGTAAAGTGGTTTGGGCTTTGGTTTCTTCACCCTGTGCTGGTGACAGGGTATCCCACTAATCAGCTGGTCTCTAAGCTATCTATTAATCTTGACTTTGTTATCTGTTTTGTTTCTAATAGAAGGAAAACTTTATGTAGGACTCCTGAAACTTTTCAAGAGCAAACAAAAGCACGGTATGCTTTTCACTTCCAACTCCACAATGACTTAGAACACAGGCCCATCTCTGAGGACTGTATTTCCTGTCGCAGCATTGCGTGGCTAAGCACTGACACTGATTCTTTAAGCTTAATAGGGAGAAGAGACTGGTTGTAGACTTAGTGATTTCAGATTTCTGATGCATCTGAAGAAGAGAGAGTATCTGGTATTTTTTACCACTGGCTTAAACACGTTTCTAAGCAGAGATGACATCCAAACTATTTAACAGCCAGTAGGACACAAATACTAACACATCAGAATAGACTCCCTCTGAAAAATAATCTGAAAAAACATACCTACATTAATAGGCTGATGAGAAGCTCTACTCTAGGGATTCCTTCAATACCTGATCCTGAAACTAAAGTTATACCTAACACGGGAGGAGGACAATTTCTTAGCTTGTGACTTGTGGAAAAATATGAAGTTTTTAAACTCTTCTCAGAGGAGAGAGATGTTAGAGAGTCCCTCCAAATATGGGAATCTTGGGCCTGGGGATGTAGCTTAGTGGTCCTATGCCTGCTTGGTCCTGAGTTTGATCCCTGATACTGGAAAAAAAAATGTGGGAATCGCCACATCTGCTTTGTGGACATTGTTCCTTTTGCTATTCGTGTCTGATTCCATATGCTTACGGAAGTCCTTTGGATTCTAAGTGTTAACCAAGAAGAGAAACATCATTTTCCCTAGGGGCGCTTCCACTGGGGATGCACCCTCATGGTACAGTACTTGCTTAGCATGTGTGGAGCCCTGATTGGGTCTCAAGCACCACCACAGCAAAATGAAGCAAAACAAAAAACAAAACAAAAAAATCTTTCTAATGCCACTTTACAGGGATCCTAGACATTACCGGTCATCATCACTGATTTCCTTTCATAAAAAAATACCTGGTGGTTTCTTTTGAAGTACAGAAGCTTTTTAGTAAGATGAGATCCCAGTTGTTGATTCTTTCTGCTAGTTCCCGTGCTACTGAGGATTTGTTCATAAAGTCTTTTCCTATACCAATGTCTTCCAGAGTTCTGCCTAACTTACTTTCCAGCAAGTTTAATGTTTCTGTTTTAATATTTAGATCTTTAATCCATTTGGATTTTAATTTAGTGCATGGCGAAAGATAAGGGTCTAATTTTAATCTGTGACAGGTTGATATCCAGTTTTTCCAACACCATTTATTAAAGAGGCTATCTTTCCTCCACTGAGGATGGTGAGCTCCTTTGTC